AAAAAAAAAAAAAAAAAAAAAAAAAAAAAAAAAAAAAAAAAAAAAAAACACCAATAATTAATCTTTTAAATATTTAAATTTGGTCCTCGTACTTTAACATATTGTAAAATTAGTCTATATAGTTAATTTAGAGCTATATTCATGTTCGGTCTTTTATTGAATTATTTTACTAAATTTTAAATCATTAATTTTTTATTTAAAGTTGAAAGATCGAAAATTTTAATTTTTTTTTAAATATTCAATACAAAATTAAAATTTTAAAAATTCGAGTTTTAATTTGACTTCCAAAAAAAAAAAAATATTAAATTATAATAAAATAACACAAAAACTCATTTTTAAACATTTTTTAAAACGGATTAATTAGTTTTATGGACTTATTAAAAAAAAATAATAATGAAAAATATCAAAAGTGGGTCAAAAAAAATTAAATAAACATTATTTTTAAAAATTATTCGACATAAATTTAAAAATTAAAAAACTCGTTTTAATTTTAATTCGAACAAATAATAATAAATAAATAATAGTCTAAGTTAACGTTCTATTCTTGGCTTCACTCAATTAAAGACTTGCAATTTACCTAAAAGCAAGGTAAAGCAATCTCAATCCTTGAAACGCCGTCGTTTTTATTATACAGTTTCGTTATTCCCGACAGCTGTCGGTTGCATCTGGCTTGAATACTCCGCTGACGGCATTTGTAAAATAAATAAATAAAATAAAATCAATTATATATATATATATAATTGTTCGATTAGTCTCGCAGTCAGCCTCATAGTCTTAAAAGGCGTATATTAGAGAGATGTTTCTCCACTTTAGTCCATTAGTCTCGCCATTAGGTTCGCGGTTTTAAAACGCCTCTATTAGGAAGAAGTTTGTTAGCTCAAGTTCACTGCTAACAGATTTATCCGTTTTGGTCAATTACATCTTACCGTTAGAATGTGGTTTTTAAACGTGTTTGTTCGTGGTACGTTTTTACACTTTTATAAACAATACTTCGTTCCCATCTCAAACCGATGTGGTATGTCACAACTCAACACGAATCATACAGGTCGAGTAGAGTTTAACAAGTTTTTTTTTCCTTCGGATTATCGAGTTTTTTGAATACCTTTATGACCAACTGCACATAGATTTTACTACAGCCTTATTATCTTTCTCTGTGAAACTCCTCAACTGTGATTAGTTAACCATGTTCGTTCTCAGTATTCAATCTCGTCATTCATTTTAAGATTAAAATCTTGCCCCCTTTTTATCTATTGTTTTTATGAGTTACGTCGTTAACTTCATGGTTGACGTTAGATCGAGTTTAACTAAAAATGTTGTATTTCGCTCTTATGCTGCTCGTTCTTCTCTTGGTGATCGACGGAAGTTGCACCAAGTGACAGCTCGTTTCACATCGAGTCTGCACATTAGCGACCCGATGACTAATCCAGTGGATTATGGCCTGTAAGGGCGATGATTGCTTCAAATGGTTTACTCTTTAGACCGATAAGTTAACAGGGTGTCATAGTTTGTGGACTCCGAGAAAAAAGTTCATAGTTTCTAGGTCTTCGACCTTTTATCAAACTAAAAGAACGATCTAATGGCTGATAGTTGCATCACTGAAGATCCACTCTTCTTGTAAACCCACATTAGCTCGAGAACGAACACACGAGCGCTCATTCTCGAAGTAATGGTAATATTCATTTTTAAAAAAGAAATAGTGTATTTTTTAAAAAAGTGACGAAATTTAGGAATATTTCTTATAATTTAGCCTTTTGTTTACTTATTTACATAAATTTTAAAATAAAATGCATTTAAATTAGTTTCAATTTAATTTTTTTTTTTAAATGGTAGGGTTAAATTTGTAATTTAAGTAGAAAATTCCGGTTATACGCAATTAAAATAGGCCGGAGCGCAGCAGATAAGAAACCAGTATATTTATAGCACGGTGAATTGGCGGGCCTGGCACGAGGTTGTGGCGCATTGCGAATTCTAGGGTTTAAGGGCGCCATTTTTCCGTACTCGGCGCTGCGAAACCAGCGAGCATCAACACATGTCTTCTAGGGCTTAGTCATTTTCCTTGTTCACTTCTCTTAATCCTCCCTCTCTTCAAGCTCCTCTGTTCCATTAATGTCGGAAAACTCCATGGATTTCAAGGTAAATGATGGTGTTACTAATGGCGAACACGACGACCCCAAGACCTCGAACCATGAAGACGATGGGAGTAGACATGACCGTCCCTCTCATGGCGACGGGGCCAGTGCTGGGTAAGTTATCCTTGTCGGGGTTATTTTTTTGTTTTTAGAGTATTTTGTGGTGCGGGAATGGGGTTCGTGATGAAATCGCGGAGATAGGGTTGTGACGTTTGGTTTTATGTTTTTTGATCCCTGTTTTTTGGTTATTTGATTGCTGCTGCAGGAAAATCTTCGTGGGAGGTTTACCGAGGGAAACAACTTCCGGTTAGTTTTTTCTTACGGTTGTGCGTTTCCTACGAATTGTTGTTTTGTTGTTATTGTAATAGTGGAGGTTTCAATTGATTATTTTGCAGCACAATTTGTTAACCATTTCGGTGAATATGGAGAAATTACGGACTCCGTTATAATGAAGGACCGGAAGACTGGTCATCCCCGCGGATTCGGGTTTGTGACTTATGCCGATCCCTCTGTGGTAGATAAAGTCATTGAGGACTCACATATTATTAATGGGAAACATGTAGGCCTGCATTTAGTGTTGATTTTGAGTTAGCTGTTAGGTTTCAATGATTTCAAGCTCAAACTTTGACTTAACTTTAGGTGGAAATCAAGCGAACAATACCCAAAGGTTCTTCCAGTTCTCGAGATTTCAAGACCAAGAAGATTTTTGTTGGTGGAATTCCGACATCTGTAGACGAAGGTAACTTATTGTTTACATGAATTAATGTTTAGATGGTACTATGAGGTATAGCGTGCTCACTTTTTTAAGTGTCAAGCAGATGAGTTCAGGGATTTTTTTATGCAATACGGCGAGGTTCAGGAACACCAGATTATGCGTGACCACTCCACTAGTCGGTCTCGTGGGTTTGGTTTCATTACATTTGAGACAGAGCAAGCAGTTGATGAACTCTTGGCAAACGGAAACAGGCTTGAGTTTGCCGGCAGTCAGGTCAGCAGAGTTCTTTCCTAGCTGAACTAATCTCACATTCTCACTTTCTGTCTTCTATAGAAAATAATTTTGATGGGCTAGTTGTTTTTGAGGAATTATCATTTTTTCAATTCTGTTTGAGCAACGAATGCTCTTGTGGTTGCATGGCCTTCGTATTTATTTTGTATTTATTGGATTTTGGAATCTGAACCTTTTTCAAACAAATATGATTCTAAAGAGATATTTGATTTGAAAAGTCCAAAAGTCCTGTCAAAGTAGTTAGTATTTCTTATTAGTTCCACTTTGAACCTGTCATTCACTCAAGTTATAAATTTCTTAATCTATCTATATGTACATGAATACAATTTATTGAACTAAGGCTATGTTACCCCTAGGCACTAAATTATTCAATTGAAATGTCTATATGAAGCCTCAAATTTATTTCTTGCGAGAGTTGTTCAGTGTTCATTTGGAGTGAAGGTTAAAAAATTTTAGATCTTGAAATCCATTTTGCAAAATGATTTTGGAAAACATTGGTAAGCAAGGTAGATGTAAACTAGTAGAAAATGGTATATATACCACATATATCCATTTTCTACTAGTTTACATTTATATATATATATATATATATATATATATATTGAAGCAGTGCTTTGTTTGTTTGAGTACTTTTTCCAGTTTTTTGACTCTAATACTAAAACATTTTAAACCAAGAAAATAAAAGTGGATGGAATCAAATTTTCAACATTTTCATAACCAAAGCTCATTCGGTTGCTACCCGTTGTCTCTTACAGAAAGCCATTTTTTTAATCACAAGCTTATCAAATTAAGATACATGGTGAAAAGAAAAAGTTAATTGCAATGAGGTTTTATATCTATTCCTGTATGATTTTTTCATTGTATTGGTCATATGTACAAGTACAACATAAGAATAGAAATTCTTTACTAAATATATTCATCAGTTGAAGTCATTTTATCAGTTAAGATTCATGATTCTTTGTTTTAAAGGTGGAGATCAAGAAGGCAGAGCCGAAAAAGGCAAATCCACCTCCCGCCCCTTCAAAGAGATACCATGATTCAAGGCCAAGTTACAGTGGTGGCTATGGTGATGCATATGGGGAGTTTGGAGGTGCCGGGTATGGTGGTGGTTTTAGGGCAGGTGGACCATACGGTGCTAGAGGTGGTAGCTATGGTGGATATGGTGGATATGGTGGAAGTGATTTTAGTGGCTATGGAATGTATGGTACTAGTAGCATTGGAGCATACAGGGAAGACCCTTCTATGGGGTATTCAGCTCGTTATGGATCTGGCTTTAGCAGAGGTTATGATTTGAGAGGTGGTTATGGTGGACCTGACGAGAGCTATAGCGCGTATAACACCGGTGGTGCTCCTAATACTGGTGGGTATGCAGGTAGCTACGATATGGGCATTGGCGCTGGATACCCGGCTGGTGGTAGAGGCTCAATCTATGGAAGTAGAGGAGGAGGAGGAGGATACGATGGTGCAGGGAGTACTCCAAGTGGTCGTTATCATCCTTATGGACGGTAGTAGGTAGCAGTGGGAGCTTTTGTTGATGTTCTATAAGGACGGTTGTCAAAATAATGATGAAATATGTGTGCCTCTTACCATCTCAAAATTCCTGCCATGTTCACCAGGACCACAATTATCAAAGGATTTAGAATATGACTGTACAATTGATTGACTAACTTGCTGGAGATTGTGCCAAGATTATGTATCATCAATTTTTCCATTTGGCTATCAATGTTTTAGTTGTTTTATTGACCTGTCTATTTTTAAGCATGTTTAATGAATTGGAATATTTTGGTTTCGTTCCATGACATGTGGATCGAAATTTTCTTTTTGACACCACAAATGCCACAAAAAAGGGCAAATCGTGGTTATGAAATTAAGATAAGGACTCAGCAGAGAGTACAAGAAGGTTATGCCTGCATTCGCAACTCTCAGTAGAGAGATGTCATGATAATTGCTCTCTAAAGTCTGCCATCATCCTTGTAAGTTTCTCTTCTTGGCCACTGAATTTCTTACTCATTGATTGCTGCTCCTTCTACAATGTTGTGAACAGGATTGATTTCTTTTTCTTTGATGTAATTGATGTGAATCGGCTCGTCAATTATGTGGATAGTAACTAAAATGCGAGTTTTGAAAATTTTGTTGTAGGTTACCTCTCCAAAGTTCGGGCTTGGATCGGTGCAAACTTTTTTAAAACAAAAAATGTTTTAGGGTACTTCCAATGTAGGAAGCCGAACCCATCGTATGGCTATGCTCTATGCACCGCCCCCTAAGATGTGACTGTATCCTTCTCTAATATTAGTATAGTTGGGGCAGTTGAATTCTAATAAATTCCAAGCTTAGATGCAAGTATAATGTATTAGTCGTCATTGATAGGCCATTATTAAGTTTGATGAAATGAGCCCCCCCCATTGTGATTAGATTCTTGAGTTAAAACAGGGATGGTTCTTTAAGCTTCATCATGTGATAGTCATATGAAAGTTGCCTAAGATCAAATGCGGAAGGCACAGGTAATGTTTCAATGAGTATGGTTCTTGTGTTTGTGGCTGTTCTCTCCATTTTTAGCGACTGACCTTTGTCACTTCTTTTATAAAGCCAAGAATCAAAGTGGAGGGATGCGTTTCAAGACTACTCATCATAATGCTCATACCCGAACGGAGATCAACGACAGTGTGAGTGACGACCCCCAATAATTCATCGGTTGGTGGTTCGACTTTTTCAATGATACCACGTATTCACTCGAACTGTCTTATCAGGTTATGAACAAGGAGTTTGGACATTGCATTTTCAATTCTAGAATGTAATGAATAGGCAAAGCTTGATTGATGATCTCTACCTGGAACTAAATTTCAATCATTGTTCTTTTTCAGATGTCTGTTGGTATGAGGAGTCGATTTCGCATGGTCCCGACATCTTTTGATAGTATACTGTTTGTGGTAATACCCCCTCCTCAAATTCCATGAATCAAGACCATACCGTATGCACATGACTTGTTCCCATCATATTTTTGCCATATTTTTTTTGTTTCTTCTCTTTATCACTGCTGAAGATGGATGGTAGGCCTTTGTTTTGCAGGCTGTTCGAGATTTCGGCCTAACATTATCTTCCTGGCCTATAATACTGTACCTCTGTTGTGTTCATTCTTCTTGATCCTTTTCCCTGTTCTTGATTTCTTTATTTTTGTTCGTGTTTCTTTGTTGCTTTTTGTGCAGAATCCACCTGTAAAAACACCACATCAGATAGAGGTCAGTTCTGGAACTATCCATTCTGAATCTTTACTTGTTTCTTGCTGCTACGAGTTCTTTTTCTAGAATAGGTCGAAGTAAAAGTCGAACGACTTGTTTAGATCTCTCGATATCTTCGAATCATTGAAAGTTTTTTTTTTTTTTTTTTTTAAAAGTTCTAGAAGATGTGGGTGGGGAGCCTACAAGATTCAAATCTCTCACAACTCAATCAAGAATATGTTTAATACCTATCTTAACCATAGGTCGAAGTAAAAGTAGAACGACAAATTTAGACATCTCGATAGCTTTGAATCATTGGAAGTTTTTTTTTTCAAGTTCTAGAAGACGTGGGTGGGAGAGTGCAGGATTCAAATCTTTGACTACTCGATCGAGAATAGTCGAATACATATCTTAACCCGTTGTTGCAGGTTAGTTGACTCATTGAACTTTGCATATATTTATGGATATATAAAGAGGTTTATTAGACATTTTAAAATCCGAATCATTGAACTTCGTGAATATATGGACACACATAGGATTATTAGACATGTTTGTAAGTTTGTGTATGGGTACATGCATGCATATGACACGAACATCTAGTTACGCACAAGAATATTGCAATTATTTTGCTTCCTTTTGTCTTGAAAGATATATAGCCAAAGGCTATCTAGTTTAAGTAACTGTTGTTATCTTGACGATAAACGTTGACGAGCATTGCAATTTTAATCCTTCAGAAATTTAGAAAGATCGAACGCCATCTATTCTTCTTGAATTATAAGATATACGTGACGTACAAATGGAGGTTAACGTACAATTTTTTTCGTTTATTATTTAGAAAGTAATAATAATTTTAAAGTTTTCATTTTTCAATATAATTTTAATATTTTTTAATTAATCAACATATTTAATAACAAATATATATATAATTTCAGTCCCATTTATCTAACAAAAAAATGTTTCAAATGTTCCCGGGTCCATGGGATGGTTTCTCAATCGACCCCATGTTCAAAACCCATGATTGAAAATGTATTATTATTTATGGTTCATTCAAGTTGATTTGAACACGACCAAACCTTGTCGTTTCAAATCTATTAATTAAAAATAAGCAACAAAAATCAAAACAATTTTGATTGATGTTAAATTTACACAGATTTGTTGAGATGCTCTCTTTCTCTCTCATCATCCCCACCCTTAAGAGAATGAAAAATAAAAAATTATTGTTTCAATCATTGGGGGCACTTTGGTCCATGTTTTAGCTCTCCTCGAAAATTCTCGATCAACCACTACCTTTAGAGTCGACGACATATGATGTCGATCAATATCAGATTGAATGGATGTTTTAGTCTTTCATGATTTAGACAATTTAATTTAGTTGCATGCATTTAATGACGTTAACATTGATGGTAGGATATTGAGTTAGCAGAACATTGCTAAAGATTAGATGTAGATGCGAGATCTCTGTTGATGGAAAGGGAACAAAACAGTTTTTTAAGGGTGAAAACTTTTCTTTAATAGATGTGTTGGAAAGGGAACAAAACAGTTTTTTAAGGGTGAAAACTTTTCTTTAATAGATGTGTTTTAAAATTATGAGGTTGACGACAATGCGTAATGAATCAAAATTGACAATATCTCCTAGGGATGAGCTTACGCTTACTGTTACATAGATTTCTTCACTTTTTTTTTATAAAGAAATTAAACGGGTTAATATCATTTTCTCATTATTAGTTTATTAACTACTATTTTTACTTTCAAAGTTATTTTATTTTTTAATCTATATTTAAAATTAAAGTAAAAATTTTAAAAAATAAAAATTATAGTTTCTCAACTTATTTTTGTTTATCAAATTTAGGGAATAATTTTGCTATATTAATAAATATTTTTAAAAAAATCATTCCTAATAAAATTGCAAGAAAATAATGAAAAAAAGAAAAAACAAATAATAAATTAATTATGAAAAATAAAATAAAATAGCAAGTATTAAAATGAAAAAAAAAAAAAGAAAAGAAAAAGAAAAAACGAATAAAACATAAATTATTTTTATATAGTCAAAGTTGGGGCATTTAGTGGGCCCCACGTTACGATCTTCCATTTTACAGGAAAGCATGTCTTTGTATGGTCTCCATCCATACCCTTTTCTTTCAACCCTTTATCTTATCTTTTCCATTTTCTTATCAATTCCTAATTATATATATATTTTCTTTTTTTTTTGCTCGACCTCGGTATTATTGGGAGCTATACCAATAAAAACGAGGTAAGGGTATTATTGAAATTTAAAGAGTTTAAACACGTGCGATTACTTTGCATAGTGTTCAAGTGGCGAAGAGCGACCCATCTAGTAGAGACAATTATCATTGTTAGAACCTCTCGACCCTGAACTTATTTATTTTTCTTTTTTCTCTTTATTTTGTTTCTATTCCCTCTCGAACTTTTACAATAAATTCATTAAACTTTATTTTTAAGTCGATCAAATTCATTAAATTTTATTTTTAAGACGAAGGAAGGGTAAGTTTTTTTTATAACTTTTTTAAGGGTATTTTGGGATTTTTTTTTCTTTTTTTAAAAATTTATACGGAAAATTTTAAAAATTACAAAAAAAAAAAAAAAAATATATATATATATATATATATATTTTTTTAAATTTTTATTGAAAAACAAAAGCATTATCCAACTCATTTAATATATTTCCAAGGAATTTATTATAATAATAAAAAAATACATTCTAAAAAATTATTTTAAAACACATTTAAAAAAAAACAATTTCAAAATTTCGACGGACATAAAAACCTAAAAAAACAATAAATTCCAACTCACAAATTAATAGATACTATGAACTTAATTTTAATTTTTTAAAATTTTAAAAATATTAAAAATAATAAAAATACAGCCATCATAAGGACTCCGCAACCACCTATGACCTTCGTGCTTTTACACTGCCAGCGTGACACTCTGGGCCCCACTTCCTTCCTCTTAGGGCGGCTTTATCAACAAAATTATTGCTATGGGGGCGCCTCCTGTGAATAGACCATTTTACCCCTGACATGTAGTTTCTATGTCCTACACTAGTCGGGGAGAAGAATAAATCACCATTTATAAGTGTGTGGATACTTTTCCCTAGTAGACGCGTTTTAAAGCCCAAAGGGAAGCCCGAAAGGGAAAGCCCAAAAGGGACACAATATCTACTAGCGGTGGATCTGAGCCATTACACGTAAGACCTTCTTTATGTTTTTTTTTCTTGTCCCCATGGTATGAGTCGTTCATCTTTGTGTTTGTCTTTCATATTATCTAAATCAAATTGATCGAGGATGATACTTACCTTGAATGATCGATTCTTTATCACCTTTCTTTCGAATCTCGAAATAAGCAATTGAGATGTTGAGCTACCTAATCGTTCTGGAAATGTTGAGTTCGATTTTTAAAGTCACCTACTCAATGGCTTGTGTAAAGAAGAATTGTAGGTTTGTGAAGGTGGGCTCGAGCTAAGACTGTGGTTGTGAGTGTAATTGTATGTCAAACTAGAAGGAAGGT